CACAAGTCCAATGGCCTCTACGGCCTACTACCATGCATCTTGTATAAACTCACATACCAGTGGGCCTTGGGGCACTGTATGGAGATGTGACCACAGCTGGGTGACAAATGAGAAAGCGCCAATGAGTCACACACACACACCTGGCAAGGCGGCCTGTTATCCATTAATGAAATCATGCATGGGAGCCAGAAGTGTCAATAGCAAATCTGCTGGAGTTTCAAAGTAACACAAAACATCCACTCGCTGCACTAAGTAGAGAACATTTCAGGAAAACTACACCCAAAGCTTGTGGAAGCAATCATTGACTTGTTTTAGGTGCCTCAATTTCAAGACACCCACAAGGGGACCAACTTTGAGGGCGAGAGCATGCATGGTTACTGAGTGTGTCACGTACACACAGAGCAAACAGCTACCTCAGTCAAGCTGCAATTATTATTATTAGCAGTGAATAATCCAACACGACTCTTGAAAGGCCCCCAAGGGGATCATATTAGCGCTACAACAGCCACCCACGACTAACACTCTCACGCTGCAAAGAAAGATAGCAGTCTCTCCACCCACATACCAAAGAATCCTTCACACCCTTCAGGGCAAACCAAAGGCAGCACTGCCAAAAACTTCCCTTGCAGAGCCAAGGTTTTAGACTGCATGTGCCTTAGTTTCAAGAGGCAAAGCTGAGTATCGACATAGCATGAGATGGGAGTAGGGCCACTCAACTCAGGCTCTGAAAATCATTTCTAGTAGGGGAAAGTGGGCATGCATACACACACACACAACTGGTTGTGCCAGCAAAGGTCACCACCACTACTCTGATCAAGAAAACAGGGCTGGTTGGCAATCATGACTGAGGCAAGACAGCTGTACTTTAAATCATGCTGCACTTTAAAATCAATGAAACATCACCTCATTGGATGCCACGTTGCAAGTGGTGCGTGTAGTGTGGTTGCCATTCATGAACATAACAGTGGTGCTGCCTGAGAACCACTGTGGAGGCCAGGACAAGATTTCCATCGCTTTAATCCTTCCTCTCGCACTGCAGCAGTTATAGGCAAGCTATTCTACCTGCCTCACATTCCCCATCTATGAAGCTGGGACAATACCTCTCTCTCTCTCACTGCAGGGGTTCTGGGAAGTTGAAATATTTGTGGATTGCTTAGATATCATAAGGGACAAATGCTGCGCATAAGATGCCCATACAGTGGGTTCTTTACCCCTGGGAAGACAGGCTGGACCTATGCTAATTTTGTTTTGCCCCATCAGTGCACTGCAGGCTGTGCAGATGTGAAGGAGCCCATTAAAACAAGCATTTCTGAACTGAAACAGACTTGCCTTTTGAGGAAGTTCTTAACACCGAGGGAAAAGGGAGACCTTAGTGCCTACAGAAGGTGGCAAAATGAGCAGGGGAGGGGAAGGATTGGGATCTAACTGAACTAAGCAGAGCAAGAGTGAGTGAATGACTTCCACAAAAGGCTTGAGAACACAATGGAGAGCTCTGGATAAAAGCTATTGTAGGTGACAAGTTATCTCAAACAAACTAAAAGGCATAGTACAACCCATTTACTTCTTGAGATCAGTCTTCAGCAAAGGCTCAGCTGACTTTGTACCAGGCCTCGAGGGTAGAAATTCTCACGGCCACTCTGAGTCAAACAAACTCTTCTGGTCTTACCCCTTCTTGCCTTTCAAGCCTGTGGGGCAGGGACCAATACACATGGCACTAAAACACATTGGTGTCTGGAGCAGACTACACTGTCAGTCAAGATATAGCAAAGGATGCAAAGGCTTCATGTCAGGAAGCAAAGGACACTGGACTGGAACCAAAGGAAAGCATGGTGGTGTCAGAGAGTCCTTGTGGCTACCAAGTCTGCTTGGCTTCCCCAGTCACGGCAGCATCTTTCATCACAAACCAATGGGGTCAGCAGGGTCCACTGATATAACTTCCCTCTTCAGCCAAAACCACTGGGTGAAATCAAATCTAAAACCTGTCCTTTACAAGACGGACTGTAAATTCTTACCCCACAAAAAATCTGTGAAGTTCTATTAATTTTGACAAACCCAAGTAGATTTTAAGATCCGTCTTGGTCCACAAAAGTAACACCCAGTCTGTCCTGAATTACCCTTAATGGCCCATGGCGACAGACATATCACTAGTGTTGCACTGCCACTCAGTAGTCCTACCTAGGATCATGGGCATGTGGCATGTGGTCCAGACCTTCTCTTCACCACAAACCAGACATCACAACAGCAAGTTGTTATGCCCCCTTCATCATAAGCAGGTGTTTTGGGGGACTGAAGATGTCCAATCTCACTGTTGATGGGAACAAGTAAAAACACCATTTTGTTTTACTATTATCAAGATGATGTCTTGTCACAGTGACGGCCTCTTAGAACTTAAATTCATACAAGTATCATAGATCTTAGAAGCCAGTTTCTGATAGTAGGGTCGCAGAAGGGTGCCTTATAGGATTTTTTGATAAAACGGCTGCCATCTCTAACAGCATCACCTCTGAAACACTGCTTTCATGAACCCCTTTTGCCCAAAAAGGGGTTCATAAAAACTTGTGAAATCCCAGAACCAAAAAAAACTTGGATAGGGTAAGGTAAAGAGTTTCATAAGATACCCTGAGCGCTCATCATCAAAAATATACAACCCTTAAGTGCCAAACTCTATATTAAGCTGGATTTCTTATCAAGAGCTTCTGTGATCAAGACATTCTGACGATCGATAATCCTCTTCATTAGACGCCATGGAACAAAGGCTGCTGGATAAAAACTATGCATGTCGAGCAACACTGCGACGCTACAGTAATCTTCAGCCATGGCTGCTCTTACCAAGTTTTGAAGTGGGAAGCAGGGAGTAGTGCAAAGATAAAAAGAATAACAGGACATAACAGGGTGGATTTGCTGGTAAATTCATTCTCCGCTCAGCCCAGAGCTCTCTACAAAGATTTCACCAATTAGCCTGCCAACCAAATCTTTTTTCTATAGAAGGGAACCTTTAACAAACAAGAGAAAGAGATATAAGTGCTATTCAGCAAAATCTAAGGAATACTCACAGTCCTTCTATTGAAGCGGAGTTTAGTCAAACCTTGAAATTCCAAGTGAAGTGGGAAGCCACCTCAACATGTGCAAAAACAGAGTGTAGGCCAGTTTTAGAAAGCCAACTCATGCTGATCTTGTGATTATGCTCCTAGAGCCCTCAGGAGATTGCATGTATGTGAGACGTCGAGCTAGTTCCTTAATTGCTTTCTGCCTCCAATCATCACCTCTAAGAATGGCACAGCATAGGCCAGCATTTCTCAACCTGTGGGTTGCGACCCAAAAGTGGGTTGCAAGAATATTTGAAAGGGTCATGAACAAACTTTAAAAAATGAATTAACAGACTTTAAAAATGGAGAAAAGCATGGGAAACTTTAGCTTTTCCCTTGCAAGCTGGCACAGTTCCAGCCTGCGAGGGGCTGACTGGGGCCCCCCCCTGCCCCCATGTTGGGGGGCTGGAGTGAGGGGCACTGGGCTATTGGTGTTTACAAATGGATTCTGTTACAAAAAAAAAAGATTGAGAATCACTGGCCTAGGCCATGTAAGAGCCTAGAGAGAAATCGGGCTTTTCTACTCCATTGGTGTAAGACATACAGCCACCCAGCTGACACTTGGCCAAAGGGCTCTGCAAAGCACTGCCTCTCCCTGCATCTCTTCTCCCCTTCACCACCCTCACACATGCCATTCTTCCTTCCACCTCTCTGGCTTGCTGGACTGTCTCCTTATCAATCATGAAGCTGAAGTTGGTTCCTTATCCTCAGTTATTCCTGGTCTCCATATCACACCCCACACCTCCCTTCATCTGGTTCCTACAACACCCACCCCACTGCCACTGAGCC